AGCCGGGACGGGTCGCTAGTAATATATAAAATCGAGATGTATACCTATTATAACTGTTGTGGTGGCCCGGAGGGTTCGAAACCTACCAGTGGCAAATACCAGTGTGACCTTTTTCGAGTTTTATGTACTTTCTAAGATTATCTAGACACCACTGACAAACGGTGAAGGAAATCATCGTAAGGAAACCGGGACTTAAAATCACATTGATACTTGCCGTTGGTAGGTTTCCAATTTCGAACCCAGACTCTCAATATAGTATCTGTAAATTATTGTTGTCAGGGATCTTGCTTGCGACAGCTCAGCTGTATCAATACCTAAAAGAAGGAAGAAGTTCTTTAGAAGAAATCCACGGAAAATGACACCCTGTAACATTGTAAGTATTCTTGTTAATATATATTTGTTATTTCTCCAATAGACTGCGCTCGTCACATCGTTCTTCGAACAGCGATGTTTAAAACTATGAGCCCTTACCGCGGTTAGAAACTAGTTAAGCAATAGTACGCATTTATCTATATGAATAAAAATGAATTTCCGTTCGATAGTCACGCACGCTCAAACTCGAGAACTGCTGAACCGATTTGGATAATTTTGGTCTTGAAATGTTCGTTCGAAAAATTAGGCGGAATGAAGTTTGCCGGTACAGCTAGTAATTAATAATACATTAACAAATATTAGTACGCTGTTGTAATAAATATTTTTGTTCTATCTTTTTCTATTGCGGTACCGGTTAAAAATTAAAAAAGAAAAAAAAGTCAAGACAGCTATATAATTATACGACTCGACTAAGATCAACCACTGAGGAATGGACAGCAGCATTGCATAAAAACATCGGTCACCTTACTGCGATCTCCAAGCCGCCTACCAAACGTGGGGATTTTTTTTTATTTGAGGGGCCAATGACAATAAAGAGTGTCCTGCACCCAAGTGCAAAGCCAAAGTGTATAGTGTATACCCCCCCCCCCCTTCACTTGAACTGTACAAGGTGTAGTTTTGAAACCGTGTCATTTTTCGGGACAATAGTTAAAAATACGATTATAATAAATCGTTTAAGTTCGACAGTATTTCAGAATAAGCGACAGCAATGTTTCTTATTGGAGTTTTATGGAATTAGGAATAATATCAATTTAGTGTTTGAGTTTGTGTGTGTTAAGCCGCGATATAAAGCTAGTTACATGACGGCGGCGTGTACTTCGCACTTATAGATTTCCGTAATTTACAGAAAAATATTTACGTACAATTTTTTTATTGATTCGGACTCAGAATCGTTAGCAGAGTTACCTCCTAGAAAATGACGCGGCTTTAAAAACACCTTGTATAATCTTGTCATTTTCAGTGCAACAAAAACTTCCCAAGTTTAGCTGCGTACATGAAGCATCATAGCGCTGAACATAAGGACGAGCCTCTACCGACCAAAGATGAAGAACGACACATCTGCGAGATCTGCGGCGCATCGTTAGCGGTATGTTATAGTTATTGTGTCACTAGCTACTCTTGCGCAGTCATCTACTGCTCAGCTTCTAATTATCGTAGCATGAATGATCACCAGAATAAATGTTCACTCGGATTAACCCGTCGTGTGACTAAACGTGGATCCACGCGAGACAATGAATTTTCTATTGTGTATCATATCGGTGCATTCAAACGGTTAAATTACCACACATTTAACTAATTCCGAGACGCACGACATCACTTGATGACTATTGCCGGAATACTGAAACGTTATTCAATTTTAACCCTTTAACCGCCGACAACGTAATATTACGGTTTTCGAAAGCTGTGTCCGAATCGCCACATACGTACAATCACGTTATTTTATTAAAAATCTTCTTATAGTGCACAAACTCCATATAAAATGTGTCAATTTCAAGATGTAGGGTATAATCTTTATTGTTATGGATATTTCTCAATGTTTTGAGTGATAAATACTGTGAAATTTGAGGTTTAATTAAATTGTGGTCACCGTCTCCATTATCTGTATCGCCAATCACGTAATTTTACGAGTACTAGGGATGGGGCGAATTCGAAAAATACTTAATAGGTTGTCTAAGAACAAACAAGGCACTATAGATATTACTGTCACTATTTGCAATGAAAGTGTATACTTTCATTAGAAAATAACCATAGTGTTACTTTGATGCAAGTATTTGTACTAATTAAAATGTATTTAAGTTTAAAATTATTTAATATTTATAACAATAATATAAAAATTTCATAACGCAGAACCGCACTAGTGCGGACAATCGCCGGTCGCCATCATCGTAATATTACGTGCGGCCAAGGAGATTATAGCGCTGTATTGTGAGTTGCCTTAGCGCCGTCACCGTAAAATCACGTTAAACATTTATCACTCAATGCAACTAGTGTTGTAAGCCCTTTTTTGGGTTTTTGTTATTTCTCAAATAAATCAACACAGTCAAAACCAAATGTGTCCATTATGCAAAGTTAGAAGATGGTGACGCAAAAGTTTTTGATCAGAGACCAAGTGATCCACGAAATGAATACTTTGCATCTTTAAAACCTTTTGAGCTGGAAATCGTACGGTCGGAACTCCGCCCAGAAGTTTACATGAAAATATTAAATTTAATACGACATGCTCGTGGAGCACCGTCGCCAGCAGGAGAACGGACGACGCCGTGCCCATTTCCCGAATACATATTTTCGTATACTTCGTTTGAAGATTGAAAATTTTTAGATTATTTATTAAGTAGGTAAATAAAACATTGATTTTAATTTTTTAAATAATAAAGAATATATTATGTATCGATATTAAATGTTCCCAACACTGTTCCAACTTATACCTAAAGTGACGTGGCGCTGGAGGTAAGTTGAAAGTTCAGAATCTTGGCGGTTAAAGGGTTAATTCGTGCTCAAATATCGTGCCATCTCTGTCACTTAACAAAGAATTTGTGGAGACAGAACTATATTTAAGTGCGACTTAAAATTGAGTAGCGTTTGAGTATTCCGACATACATTTACCTATTATATTTAAAAAAATATGTTGATGTTCATTTCTTTGTCATTCCACTAAAGTGTTAACATTGGATGGAAGATAAATGAAACATTCACTGGGGTGAATATTCATTCGGGTGAACCGTCTGATATGTTATACTTTTATACCTTTAATTCTTTGTTCGTTCAGAGTGTAACGTTGAACCTGCTTGCGCTAAGAATAAAAAAAAATAAAAAAAATCTGATTAAAAGGAAAAAACAACACATTCTCCGTTCTGTTACAAAATTAAATTTCAAGAACTTCTGGTTTTTTTTTTAGTGAATGATTCCGTAAGGTGAAATTGGGTGAATAGGTACCTATCCACCCCATTTTACGGTACCTATGCGTAACATGGGGCGGGAAAAGATATTGGGAAATTCTTCATAGTATCGATTCATCTCTCTTCTGTCTCTATTCCCCTCTCGATCCCTATTCACCCCATTTTACCGTTATGTCTAAATCCAACATCGTTGTACATCCACCGATGTACTCGTTTCATTTTGAGTTCAGACGTGTCATTTACAGTGAAAGATGCCGAATGATACAAAAAAAAAACCGTCGTATATTTCACCTTGAGTGGCACGTTTTTTGACACATTTCGTGTTTAATATTCTTCTTTGTCCACAGGCGAGTAGCGTAGCAAGTCGTCTAAACACACATACGCGCGAAAAACTATACACTTGCGCTATATGCCACATGCAGTTCAATAGTAAAGGAAGCATGAATAGACATCAACTGGTAAGAAAATATCAGTTGCTAACTTCTGCCAGTGGCTTCGACCGCGTGGAAATATGACTTTGGATATTTATTCACAGCTAGATGACGTAATAATATGTAGCCTATATGTTGACCCGACCTGTTAGTAATATTCATGCAAAAAGACGATGCCAGGTGCTTGGTACATCTTGACCCACTATATTAGAAGTCATGTACAAGTATGCAGTATTCAGCATCGTGTTGTGTATTAATTACCGATACCTAAACATTTGTCCTGAAACCTGTAAAAGATGCGGTTTTTGTTTAAAACGCAAAACAATAATGAAAACATAACGCGAAAACAACGGAAACGCACAGAGCGAATAATAATTTAGTTGAAATAAATGCTTTGACTTTGACTTTGAATGCGAGCGAAAATAATATACCTCTACAGCTGACGAGCGCTTTAAAACGTTTCGTTACACAAAAATCATAACTAATAATAGTAATCGTTTCTTTTTTATTTTAGTGGTTGTTCGCAATTTCATGTGTAATTATTTATAAATAAATTAATGTTATGCATAATTATACTCTTGATATAATATTTTATGTATAATGATATCGATTGTAATTAATTGTTCGAATGTGTTCTATTACAGACCCACACCGGTGAAAAGCCATACGAATGTTCAATGTGTCAGAAACGGTTCACGCAAAAATGTAGTATGCAACTGCATTATCGCACGTTCCATCTGAAACAACCGTATCCAAAGAGGTAAGGTTCAAAAACATGAAGGTGAGAGTGGAATAACGCCCCTGCATTTCCCGCAGGTGTCGTCGCAAACCGACTAAGGAACCACAGATTCGCTAGGCATCAGGATGCTTACTCTTGAAACCAATCTCAATGCAATTCCAATCCAATACAAACAACAACAACAAACAAACAAATATATTTATTTCCATTTTGTTCACATATATGTACTTAATCAAAGCTTATTATTTAACTATTCTAGGTAGGTTACAATACAATGCCTGTATAGAATTAAATCTGTACCACAGGCTTTGTGGTCGCGTGCATTATACATTAGGATAATATAACTAAGCCTTAACAATATTATTTTTACAGTCACCAAAAATTACAAAACCTACATATGTATACATAAGTTAGGAAACACTAACTTTATACTTGCATTTATTAAAATAATTATTATCTATTTATATCTATATATTATTTATTTCATGACAATCAACAAATCCTCGCTTTTTTCATAACTTAATGATAGTAGATACTGAGAAATGCGCTGTTTTGCTCTGGTGTAATTTACATTGTAAACCAAGGTTTCTTTATTAATTTTATTGTACAGATATGGCCCTAAAAATGCAAAAAATCTATGTGTAAATACGTACTTTGATTCATAGCTAGCAGTACAGACAATATCTTTCCGTCTCTTGGCGTTAGTGAGGTTAGCGTCATATGTAAGTGTAGTATGCTGTTTTAGTACAGTGGATAGTATGAATAATTGTCGCACTGTCAGCACTTTACTAGACTCATACAGTAAGCCTGTGGGGTAGCGGTACGGTCTGTGCGTGGCGACTTTCAAGATGGCTCTTTGCGCTCGTTCGATTGGAAGTATCAATGTTTTTCCACTTCCGCCCCAAGAAGTAATGCAGTATTGGATTATCGATTGACACAGGGCTTTATAAATTTGAATAATTAACTTGTGATCACCAATAAGCCGCAATTTTTTAAAAACAAATATCAATTTCCGAACTCTAGATGTTAATGCAGCGATATGTTGTTTAAAGGAAAGGGTTTCATCTAGAATAACTCCTAGATACTTAATGTTATCTGTTATTACAATTTCCGGACAGGTACAAGCGTTAGTCACGATTGAGCATTCTGATTTATGCGCATACAAGTGAAATTCATTACGTGCTAGAGGTTTACGCATATTAAATTTTATAAATTTTGTCTTATCAGTATTTATTGTTAGTAGATTTATTTTAAGCCAATTATTTACGACATCAAACCCTTGCTGTGCACAGCTTTGAACTTCTGTAAGAGAACCTGCTGAAAACAGCAGAGCAGTGTCATCCGCATATGATACAATAGTGCCACACTGTAGTTTGAGGTTACATAGGTCATTTATGTATACCAGAAATAGGGTTCCTCCGAGTACGCTCCCTTGTGGAATTCCATATAGCGGTAGCAGTAATTCGGAACTAATGACGTTGCCTATTTTTACACATTGCCGTCTATCCCGCAAGTAGTCTCTAAAAAGTTCCAACTGTGTCCCTCTTATTCCCAACCCCTCCAGTTTGTCTAGTAGCAATGGGATAGATACCGTATCAAAAGCTTTTGCTAAATCAAGGAAAATTCCCATTACTTGCTTACTTTGTCCAAGCTCTCCTGATACATAGTCAGTTAATGTATGTACTGCATCAGCTGTCGATAATTTGGCTCTAAAGCCGAATTGCTTGTTAGATATAAGGGAGTTATTTTCGAGATACGAGACTAGTCTATTATTTATAATTTTCTCAAGAACTTTAGAGATTGACGGCAATATAGAAATAGGCCGATAATTATTTACCAAGTCCTTTGTACCAGATTTATGGATAGGGATTACTACTGCTTTCTTGAGGCATTTAGGAAATGTACCACTAGAAAAGCAAATTTTAAAAATATGAGTTAGTGGCGGTATTAGTATGTTCCTAAAGGTTTTTAGTATATTAGTGCTGATATTATCCCACCCTGTCACAGGACTATTTTTTAAAGATATAATAATTCGTTCTACTTCACTTTCGTCCGGTTCTAGTAAAACAAAAGACTTTCCACTACCAATACATGGCCTCGGAGATGGTATCGTAGTATTGAGGTCATTATAACACTGTCTTTGAATGTTTTCCGCTAGCCTCACACCAATATTAGCAAAGAAACTATTTGCGTTGTTAGCTGATGATAGCGGGGTTTGATCCGTTTGCAATAAATCAGTGTCACAATTATTTTGCTTCGTCATGAATGTGACTGACTTAATATATTTCCACAGTTGTTTGGGATTGTTTCCGGATTGAGCTATTTGTGATTTGTCGTATTCATTTTTTATACGTTTTAAGAGGTTATTGCAGAAATTACGATATCTTTTATATGTTGTCTGGATAATTAAGTTATTAGGGTTTTGTTTGGCTTTTCTGTGTAGTCTATCGCGGTGTCGTATACACCTGACAAGTCCCTCCGTTATCCACGGTTTTATGGTGCAATTTTTCTTACTTAAGGTTATTGTGTTAGTATTATTTAAGATAGATAGTTGTACATGTTTAATAACATAATCCATTGATTCGTCAGCATCAGCAGAATCAAAAACTGGACTAAAGTCAATATTGCATAAATCACGTCCCAGATTAATCATATTGAGTCGCGATTTTTGCTGCGGACGCGAAAAATGTTGAGTCCGATTTAATTCAAGCGTAAGCAAAATTGCGGAATGGTCTGTGATTGTTGAGTTAGTAACAAGTGTTAAACACGGAAGTCTAGTTTTTAGCATGACGTGATCCAAACATGACCCACTTTGATGAGTTGGAAATGTGTGTGAAGGTAAAATGCCATGATATGCACAAAGGTTTAGGTAGTCTTGAGTACCTGCGTCAATGTTATCAGAATTTATATTAATATTTAGGTCGCCAATTATGATGACAGTTGGAAAGGATGACAAATTTTGTAGAATATTATCTAATGACTTATTAAATTTATCTAAATTTCTGATGGAAGGAGATCTATAGATTGACACGATTGCTATTTCAGAGCCTATTTTAATAATAATACAATTAAATTCCAGGTTTGTTGGCTCTTCGATCGAAAAATGGAGAGATTGTTTTGTATATATTACGATTCCATCATTCTGGTTAAAATTTAGTGTAGAGCTAATGTAATTGTAACCTGGTAATATAGGCATAATCCCATTTTTATTTGAAAGCCAACATTCTGTTAGTACAATGATATCGCACTGTGACTTTAATCTTTGCAGAAAGATACTTAGACTATCAATGTTTTTATATATGCTGCGAATATTTTGAGTTAGTATTGTTAAAGGACTTTTGAAATCGGCGAGATAATGTCTGCATTTTTCTGTTTCAGAAACTTTTGAGTAATATACTGCATTGTCATCGAGATCATTAATCAATTGATTAGCCATATAAATTACAAAAATATTAATCAATCAATAGAAAATAAAATTAAACTATCTAAATATTACTAGTGCTACTGATAATATAAAAGGTGGCGCTCTTAGGCGCCCTCATTATAGTCAATAGAGTTAATGTACCTCGTTTCTGCTGTCTTCTTTGCCGGGCATTCAAGGTCCCCAGTTTTGTGACTGCTTGGCTTTTTGAACCGGGAGCATGTTGCACATTTTGGCGGCTTGTCCTTCTTAGTGCAGTCTTTAGTCTCATGCCCTTGTTCTCCACAATGTCCGCATGTGCATGTAACTTCGCGACAAGTTTTTGCAGCATGCCCATATTGCTGACATTTAAAGCATCGGGTTACGAGAGTGAAGTCACGTACAGGGCAGGAAGTCCAGTTGATATAGATTCTCTCCTGATTTATGAGAGCTTTCCTTACATTGGCTGGGACTTCTATTATAAAGTTGCATGTGGGCGCGTCTTTTTTCCCTGACTTGTGGCTTAACTTGATGCAAGACAGGAATGATTCTCGCGACATATTAGGCATCTTATCGGCCAGGTTCTGCTCGTAAATTGAATCGAACACCTCTTGGTCTCGAAGAGCTGCGGGCACGCCGACTACTATTATTCGCGGCCTTCTTTTGTGAGGTTCTTCGACTTTCAGGCCTGAACTGGTCAGCTGGCTTGATCGACGGAGTTTTTCAATGTCCTCGTTTGATTCGGTGCTAATTATTACACCTCCGTTCCTTGTTTTTCTCATACCCCTAACGTGCAATTTCATTTGCTCTGGATTAATAATCTTTTGCACGAGCGTTTTGGTTTCGTCACTGGATTTTAGTGCATCGTTCGGATAAATTGCGATTGACTTCAAATTAGAGGGTCGCAGGACACTTGATTTGTTCGTCTTTAATATATCAGCAAAGGACATATTTTGAGCCACAGGTTTACTGCAATTTTCTTGGATTGACTCCTTAATTGACTTTTTAAAGTCGTTCAGGCAAGCAGCAAGGTCCTCCTTTTCTCTTAAGGCTTCCAGAGATGTTTTTATCTGGCAAGCCCTTTGTTTTAAGGTCTGATAGTGGATCGCCATTTGGGAGACTCCATTTCCGACCCTTCGTGCCAGAGTGTTAATATTAAGTTTTTGCTCAGAGTTCAACTTACCCTCTGCAGCAATCTGGCACACATCATTGAGAGCCTTTTCTATTGTCACCATCCAACCCTTAATGTCACTGGTCGAGAGTGCTTCCAAGGTCTCTTCGGCGGCATGTTCTGCGGGTTGCGGAGTGCTGGGAGGGCTGCGACACGTTTTCGAACTCCGATTGAAAGGGCTATTTTCTATGTTAGCCATTGTTTGCGTTTAATTATGTAACATAGTGTATTACAAACTAAACAAAATTTACTAAATGTTGTATAATCTAGGTCAATACTTTATTGACTAAATGTTTACATGAATAAAAATAAATATTGCAATTCAGGCACGTCTACTCGCCGTCGTGGTCTCGTAGAGAATATACAATTATTCAATGTCAACACTATAGAACCCCAATCGAAGCTGTTAAAATAACATTAAGAGTATGGAATATAAAGCCAAACTCAATAACCATTTAGTCGTTCAATATCCTCGCAATACGGATGCAATGGGCGCTAGTGTTGCAACTTAAGAGTAGCAAATTTCACAATAACGACGATCGATCGGAAATTGATTCAAGAGTAAGGACCCTGGTAGCAGATTTTTATGCGACCTTCAATCTGACTGCCAACATAACATCACATTTATCCCCGAAGGGGTAGGCAGAGGTACGCATTGCGGCACTTAGCGGGGGCTCATCCGATGAATTTGCCACGGAACCCGAACGGTATAGTTACGCCACTGCTCCTTTATCGTCTTTACTCTATTATATAGACCCTACGCGGTTGTTAGCATGTAACATTTAATTAATATGGTAATTCTATATTGCAGAAACAGAAGAAAAGTGCCAGTAAATCAATTAGAAATAGAAGATTACAGAATAATAAATGACGATTCGGAAGAAAATCATAAAGTTGATCGGTGGCGATGATTGTTTATTATTTTACAAATGCAATATTGTGAAATGGACTGTATATAAAAATTGATTATGTATTTAAAAATATTTCGGTGACTTTTACTTCCCAACTTGCTTTACCATTACTATAAGGTTCTCCCATAGATCCCCAAGCGGTCACCGGTGACTGCTCTCCACTACCTACATTATAGACCTTATTTCCAATGCTTAGAGACTACTTTTGTATGAACAAATTTAGGGGATATATATAAATATCAATACATAGTATAAAACAAAGTCGCTTTCGCTGTATGTCCGTATGTATGCTTAGATCTTTAAAACTACGCAACGGATTTTGATGCGGTTTTTTTTAATAGATAGAGTGATTCTTAAGGAAGGTTTGCATGTATAATACATGCATATTGCACCCGTGCGAAGCCGGGGCGGGTCGCTAGTATAATATAAATTTCAACGGGTTGCACGGGAGATGAACAGATACAACTGATAGCTTAGGATTACGGTTTAATAAATCACTATAGAACCAATACAATCTAAAGAATAGTACTTGAATCTAGGAATACACACACATACAATACCTCTATATTACAAGTTCGGGAGAATTTTTTTTAAGGGTGCGTTTACAAACATATAAGTTCACATACAGATGACACCCAGATTCGAAACAACAATTTGTGGCTCACACAAAGAGTTACTTCGTACGGGACCACACAACACGTTGCGCGGCAGTTTTTTGCCCAGCTACCGCATCAACGGTGCAGTCAACATGCATACCGCAAAAAATGCCTCTCTTGGGGCAAATGTACCCGTTTGGGGGAAATGTACCAGGTAGCGCACGATCTTGGACATCAGACGCCTTACTATGAGTTTGTTTGACGACTTCTGTTTTTTTGGCACTGCTGGTTCATTGGTGTCGGCCAAACAGAGCGTACTAAGGCCTCAGAGCTTTGGCTCGTTTACGCTTAAAAACATAAGCGGTGGGACAAAATATCCTGCCGCCTTCGCGCAACAATTTGGTTGTACTCCGTTCGCCACTAGTAACTTGATGCTTGCTATTCTGAGCCATTATTTTTCTAGGTTTAAAATATTAATTATTATTGTTCTATAATTGTGTCTATAATGACGGTACTCGACGAGTTAAAATAAATCGTGGATCATTTATGTTGTACTCGTCCATAACTTCCTTTAACTTTTCGACTTGTCATTTGTTGTGGCTCTACTACCTATCGATATCGCTTTAGTTTGTCTCATTAATTCAGGGTGCCTTCTCAAAAACTTATAGTACCATTTTTTCCCCGCCATTTTTGTATCTTTATTGAATTTATGCTTTAGACCATTTTCCTCAGCTATTTGGAAAGCTAAACTTCTCACATCTATTAGAGAAATTTCGTTCAAGCGTTGTCGTACTTCCAAAATATGAGCGACTAATTTATTTTCCAAATCAGGTGTAAGATAACTATTTGAACCCACCATTTTATTTTCACCTTTGGCCCTTAAGTTTTTATCGTCATACCGTCTCTTTAATGTAGCCTTTGGTACGCCGTATTTTCTACTTGCCTCGTTGAGGCCAATTTTATTCTTATTTAAAGCTTGTAGTGCAAGTTTCATGTTTTCCTCACTCCATGTATATAATTCGAGCGACGTTTCGTCACTCTAAAAAAACAATTATAACATCATTTTAAAAAGTTGCCTTTTAGAAAAATGTACTCCAGGGTTGAGAATGTTTTAGATCGCGAGCGTGCGTAAAACTTCACGCGCGTCCGTACCATTCATATTTAATTATTCGAGAAATCAGAGGTCTTAACAAAAGTTTGTTTTACATTAAAATAATCAAAACGAGACCGCGTTCGGCACTCTGATTGGTTGGTTCATTGGAGCCGGCGAAACGAGACCGCGTTTGGCGCTCTGATTCATTGGAGCCAGACAATCAGAGTGCCGAACGCGGTCTCGTTTCGATTACTTCTAGCGTAAAACAAACTCGTGCTAGGGCCTTAAAGCGGTGCAATCGACGAACTGGTTCAATGATCGCAACCTTACCCTATTATAAGAAACGAAGCAGTCACAAATTGCGCCTGTATAGCAATATACCATTGTAATACAATGATTGTATGGGACTCATAACACAACTTGTAAAATAAGGATGTCACATTGAAAATTTAGAGGTCTCTGCCTACCCCTTAATTATCCCTTCCACTGTCGCGGCCGCTGTGCGCCATCTAGGCGCGCGACATTAAAATGACGATTTCTCCGAAATTTTATATAAAACCTACATAAAAAACGTACATAGTTGCAATCGTTACGAATTAAGCTAACAGACTGTATATTAAATAATGCAGATTTACCTTGTAGTCTATTTTGAAGTTGAAAGCTCTATTTTGAAGTTAATAACTACGATTGAAAGTAGTTGACTACTTACATGTCATCTGTAACTTAACTCGTCGAGTACCGGTTTTGTAGACACAATTATAGAACAATAGGTTGCGGTCACCGGTGACCGCTTGGTGTTTGACAGTTTAACTGAAGTAATCTAATTTCATGACGCGACGTACTTATCATTTGATTCCTGGAATCTAGTGGTTATTACCACGGAATATAGAATACAATGGAAGTAGCTTGAAACAATATTTCTGCCAGAACCGGTGTCGCCAAACTAATACATTTATAATTTACTCATACTATAAATCGGAAATTACGATTGGTTAGAAAAAAAATGGGCGTAAACGAAATGCAAAAAAAATATCATACGATATGCAACTTTAAAACCAATGTACTATAAATCAAAATAAATAGTATGTTTTGGACTATCAAGTACCGCCATTCGTCGCTAGATGGCGTTTAACAATGCCATCTAGCGACGAAAAGTGGTACTTGGTTTGAACTTTAACGTTGTAAGAATAAAGGTGATATTTGAATGGCTTATCACTGGCTCGAATGCGGGTCTCTACTCAGATAGTGATGTAGGATAATTCGATAAAAATAATATCGATAATATGAAAATGTGTTTTAAAAATAATATGAAAAAAAATATTGACTGCTATAGTGTGACAGTATTAAAATAATAAAATTAATATGTCGTTGATAACTTTTTAAACGTAACAAAAAAGGGTAAGTATTTATTTACATGTAAATCAAAAACCATTTTGTTCGTATTTTTTATTAGTTTCTTTTTTCAAAAAATCATTTTTTTTATTTCACATAGGCAATATAAGTAACAACTATTACATACATTTTTATGTTTTTTACAAACTTTATATGGATAATGTGATAAATGAGAGGGATGGCGATAAGGATGACGGTGCTGATCCGCTCCGTGAAGTGAAGGTTGCTTCCAATCACGTCGGGGTCACCACTAAAATAATAATAAAAAAATAATCTAAATAAATGTTACATTACACTTGCATCGATATCAATCGATAAATTCAATATGTGATTTGACTACATAACTATTTGAGTAGCGTAGAACTGGCGAGAATGTTCTATTGAATGGAATAAATCCAAAATAAACTTTATCTTGAAGGCGTAAGGTTGATTTTGACTAACCGTTTTAGTAAATAATATTATTTTAATATGTTTTTGTAAATTGAAATAAAATAAGATTTCTACAAGAAAACAATAAAAATTGTACTTACCGATGATACGGAACACCTCCATTTTTACGATTTTTCGGCTGCTATCATTTTTACACGCCAAAACGGAACAAAACGGCATAGTTGAGGAAATATGTATTTGACACGAGACTAGCAACTCGACGCCATGTTCGAACGAGACTGAACTCAAATTTGCCTCGAGTAAGCAGTGCACAGCTTAGCTGTGGCACGCGTGTCACGCCTACTTGCTACTTCCATTGTATTCTATATTCCGTGGTTATTACTACTGATTATTTGTCTTTTTAGTCTTATAATTTGCAATTAAATAAACATTGTAATGTGTTGTTATTTAAGTTTAGGGATCTGACTGCATAAATAAATTCAGTTGAATTCTCATAGCCATTATTGTCATGAATAATTTGAATACGAGGATTGAAGTCGTGAACACATGAAGGTATATTATAATTATATATTTTTTTAAATAAACGTTGCCCCACGCTAGGATATCTCCTATGCCGTGGTTGCGTTTACAGACATACAAATTTACATACACATGACACCCAGACCAGGACCAACAATTTATGGATCACACAAAGACTTGCTCCGTGCGGGAATCGAACCCGCGACACGTTGCTCGGCAGCCGGTTGTCCAGCTACCGTACTAACCGTGTTGTCGAATTATGTAAGGTATATTTACTTAACCGCTTGGCTGCCTGCGCCCGAAAGAGACGTAAGTACTGCCAAGTACTTGCACACGTGTGGCGTCATCGGACACTTTATCGGCGGGCCGCTCGTATAAACCAAAAATTATGACCATCTGTTGCATTCCGACAGCTCAAGTGATGTTATTCTTTAAGTTTATGAATAGGACTATTGTGTGGTATTCGGTAAGTACATACATACGTGCCTAATAATTTTGGAGTTGAACTGGTAACAGTTTAACTCCAATATTCTTTTATAAACTCCGTTTTTAAAAACCGACTTCATATACCTAATATTAATATACCTAACTAACAAACCCGGCGAACTCCGTTTCGCCACCAGATGGCTTCGTTTTATGTAAAAATCTCACGGTTGCTATAAACCTCGCCCGAGACCTTTCCAACGAATGCAAAACCGTGGCAATCGGTTCGTGCGTTCTGGAGTTATAGCGGTCAGGTAGGAAAATCC